GGGCAGTGGGGAAAAGAGGGCTAGCAATTGAGGTTAGCAACTAGCCTCTAGGACTTGTCTGCCCCAGGAAGGTTTTTCTGGAATAAGGCAGGGTGTGAGTTTAAAGCAGAATAGCTATTCTGGAAGAACTCCAAGTGTGGGCACTCTTTTTCTGGAATAAGAGTGTCTTCTTCCAGGTTAGCTTAATCCACTTCCAAAGTGAATGAAGGTAACTGGGACAAGAACACTGTTGCTCTGGAATAAGGGTGTCCGCACTTGGAGTTATTCCAGAATAGCTATTCCAGTGTAACTCACGTGTAGATGAGCCCTAAAGAGAGTTAAGGTGTTCAAATCCCACTGAATTTCAATGGAAGTTGGCACCTAACTCCTGTAGGTCTGGTCTACACTTAAAAGATTTGCCAGCATAACTCTGGCAATTAGGAATGTGAAAAAAATCACTCCTAACTGACTTAGTGCTGGCAAAAGTCAGAGTGTAGGTGCAGTTATGCAGCAAAACAGTGCCTTTGTTGATAAAGCTTGTTTTGATTGGGGAACTGATCTAAAGTTAACTGGCAGAAGAACTCATTTTTACCAGCATAAGATATGCCTACACTAGGAGGGTTTGCTGGGGTAGCAAATAATTTCTAAGGCCTTAGATGCCTTTGAAAAGTTTAGTCTTAAAGCTCATAAAGTAGGTAGTTTCCAAGACAAAAATATCTAATAATAAAATAAAAGTGATTTTTCCCTAATAACCCGACTATAAATTTTTTGCCGCTCCTCCCACATCCATCAATGGTGGGGCCTGCTTGCTGTGCAGACATCTCTGAGGGCAGGGTCCCGGGGCTGTGGCCCGTGGAACACTTTCTGGTTTTCCATGTACAGGTGGCTGGTCACATGATGCTGGATCCTCCTTGTTTCCAGTTGCTAAATTGCATTCAAAGAAGCTGAGGGTACATCTGAGCATTTACTTTTCCACAGAAGCAATTGCTGTTGTCACAGAGCTGTTCTGGGATAGCGAGTGGGAGGTGTCCATAGGACAGTCGTTCTACTGATGGGCTGCATTGTATGAAAACCTTTGAGATCGTCTCAGGGCAAAATTCCACTCTTGGAAAAGTTGACCCTGAGAAGGGTTTGACTTGGATATTCTGCTCTCTCTTCCTCCCTCGTGTCTTTCAATTAATTAAATTCCAGTAGCATCTGGAGGCCACAGCCTACATCAGGGTCCCATAGCTCTAATCGTTGTACATATAACATTAAGAGACAGTTCAAGTCCCAAAGAGATTACAATATAAATAGACGAGGCAGGCAATGCATGGGAGAAAGTGTTATTTATCCCAGTTCTACAGACAGGGAAACTGAGGCACGGATTAAGTGACTTGCCCAGAGATATGCAGGACATCAAACTCAGCTCTCCTGCAGTCCAGTCTAGTGTCTTAGTCACTAGACCACCCTTCTTTCACTGCTGAAAGCTGATGGGACGTGACCTCATTAAAGGACGTGAAATCACCAGTCAGCTGAAGAGAAAGTACGTGCACAGGGGTATTGCTGTGCCCCCTCCTCAGACGCATGCCTGGGGCTGCACAAACCCTAGCGCCAGCGGTGCTCAGCGGGATGTAATGGCAGGTCTCTGGCTTCCTTTGCTCCCGCTGGGAGGATCCGTCACCTCCCCTCTCTTGTGACTTCTCGCCATGTTGCTAGCTGGAGCTTAGAGCTGACCATGGGCAGTTGAATGTGCCAGGCTTGACTGGGGGAGATGGAAACAGGCGGACTCTCATGTAGCTGCTAAAATCTTTTTATGAGAGACGGTGATATCACGAACTGAAAATTCTTTCCATTTCTCATAAACATCCAGGGGCAGAGAGTTCACTGCCCCTGCCTGGAAGGAACCTCAGAGACAGAAGGGCCCCCAGAGCATTTATGGCTGAGTGAATTTAGAGCTTCTGAAACTCAGGGACTGATAGCACTAGCTTGATCCAAGCGGTGCTGCTCCCAATGCACCTTACAAACCTGGCTCCAGGCTTCCCTCATGCGGCTCTTCCAGTGCACCTTGAGCCTGTCCTACACCAGGCTCTGAAATGCCAGTCCGAGGTCTCCACTGAACAGAGGCCGCACCACTCATGCCAAACTGGTGGTATTTTTGCGATGGGCACAACTTCAAACACTCACAGCTGCTCTCTGTGAGAGGCGGAACCAAAAGCATGGATCCAAACCGCGGTGTAAATGCCGGGGCTGATGACCATCCCCGATCATTTCAAAGACCTTCCTACCTCTAATGAGCCCAGAAAAATTCCCCAGCCCGCCCCCACTGTTTGCTCTGTGATCTGCAACCTGTTGTTATTTTAATTTTATACAGGAAAAGCAATTGTCCCCCCCACCACCCAGCACAAGGCTAGATTCAAATAATAGGATGCAATTAACTCTGGGCTGCTCTTGATTAGGCCATGAAACTGGCCATAGCCGGGGGAAAGTTTACTTTCCCATTGTTTTCATTGCTTCATTCAGATCTGACTATATTTTAGATCCAGAGCACATGGCACATGAGTTCAAGGGCGTAATAGGAGCAGTCCAGTTGCAGTTTGAAATGACTGCGATCGGTCTCAAATCTTTTCCTGCAGAGGTGGAGCAGACAGGGGTGTTAATGCACTGTGAATACACCAAATGAGCCTGGAAAAACGCTGCATAATAATCCTTTAGTGGTTGGGAGCTGACCCTGTCATGTGCCTGGAGTATTAACCTTAATCCAGGGCAGGTAACTGTGATCGGGGACTAAAGTTTCTTAGCAGAACTCCTGTGTGTCTGTCAGATCCTTATTACAGCATCATTCATCCGACAGCACTTCACAGACTGCACAAAGGGAGCCGTTCATGTGCCACTGAAATGCAGCCACTTCTGGGGTAGAACATGGCAGCTGTTTAACAGCTCCCACCCACAACTGCACAGCAGTATAGGACAGGAAGGAAAGAAGAATCCTATATCCTATTGAAATTAAAGAGGGAATTTGACGGGGTGGAATGCAATCAGCTGGCTTAGATTCCCACCAGGACCCTGGTTAACAGGCTGCACAAAGAGGATCTTTAATAACTGCAGGTGGGCAGGACCTCAGCTATCTGTGCCATGCAAAAGGCCCCACGCAGTACCATGGTGCCCCCTAGTGTCATGACCTTGGCAGAGGACATCATCCACTGGACCACTTCCTGGTTGCTCCTTTTTAGAGGTTTCCCATCCATATACCAACCTGGCTTAGCTCACAAGAGCCAGCAGAGCAGAGCGCAAGGCTGAACAGTGGCAATAGGACAGTTTCATTTCTAAAACGCCTCTGCCCAGGTTGTGGGGGGCCAATGCCCGAGGAATTAAAAGCCACAAATACACATGACAAACTCATGCTGAGCAGCCCCTCTGCATGCGCTCCTGCCTCCCATCCCATTCCCACGCCAGCTGAGTAGGCTGCTTCCCCAGCCCTGGCTGACTTGGGGAACGGGTGGTGCGATCAGGAGGTGTGATTGCAGCACCTGCAGCCATACCCGAGCGCGATCAAAGCTGGTTCGAGTAAGCAGTGAAGCCGTGGCAGTATGGGCTGGCAGCTGCTCGCATGTGGACCCAGGGTCCCGGGCTGGTGGGGCTAGCCCATGCCACTGCTATGCTGATGTAGTTTCACTGTTATTGTAACTCACGCTAACTAGAACCTGGTATCCAACCCCCTTTTAACTCGGGAGCTGTTGGATTCTAACCCCCAGATCCAAACTGGTCCCCATCACATTGGTTCCAGATCAGATCCATAACCAGAAGGAGCCTCTTTGCCAGTTTCTGGGTCCGAGTTCAGACGTGTCCGAAATCGGGCAAGAGCTGCTGAGCTCAGCTTTCCACCATTCAAGATGGCAGAAGTTTCACCGGCTCGTCTAAGTTTATGAGATTTCTGCCATTTCAGTCCCCAAAACAAGTTGCAAGGTCTCATGAAATGGGCATGGGAGCCCCCCAAGCCCAACCAGGACTAGAGCACAGCACCACCTGCTGCGATTCACTGGGCGTCATCAGGGTGTGTAATTAACCAAGCAGTGAGCTCCAGTGGCCCCCCCCCCCATATTCTTTGCAAGGCTTAAGCTGGGTAATAATTCAAAGCAAGATCTTGAGCAGGGCAGCATGAACGCTTCGTTTTCCCCTTTCTCCTCCACAGGGCTGCAAAGTCTGTTAACTTTCGCATGGTGTCGTCAAAAATTAAAGCTACAGGGGGATTCATTGTTCCTGGTCGTACAGTGAAAGGCTCCACAATCACTGGGAAAGAAAATACAGTTTGCTAGCAGGGATGAATAAGGAGTAGCCTGTGCAGAAGCCTGACATGCCACATGGAATAGACAAATATTTCTGAATGGGCATTTAGCAAAGGACCATGTTAAATCAGGCAAGAGCAGCTCCTTTGCACCATTTCATTCCCTATCCTCTTGACTTTCCACCCTGAGCAGAGCTGGGCCTGGTCAGTATTTTGGGGCTGGAGATTTCCAGAGAAAATCTGGTGCTCTACAGAAAGCTCTTGGTGATTCAGCTCTTCCCTCCTAAGTCAATATTATCCTAATTGTTTATGTAGGGCTACACGTTATTATTATTTATATTACAGTAGCACCTAGAGGCCCTAACTGAGATCAGGGTCATCCATTGTGCTAGGCACTGTACAAACACACAGTGACAGTCCCTCCCCAAAAGAGCTTACAATGTAAATTGACATGGCAGACAAAGGGTAGGAGGGGGAACCGAGGCACAGAGAGGTGAAGTGACTTGCCAAGAAGCCGGTCAGTAGCAGAGAAGCAACGGAGTCCAGGTCTTTCAGTGCCTTATCCAGGGCTTAATTTGTGCCCGGGCTTGCCGAGGCTGAGCCCCGGCACCTCTGGGCTTGGCAGGTCGTAGCCACAATACCTCTTCACACTAGCCCACACTGCCTCGCATGCTTTTTAAAATCCGACCTAGGATGACTTCCCTCGTTCAAAGAGTTTATAATCTGAGGGTTTGTGATACTGAATCAAGGGGCCAGCATGCTGCTAGGAGGTGCCCGGCTGCTCGGAGTGCGTCTTTGGGATGAGAGGTAAGACCAAGATCTGGATTGATTTGTGATCATTAAAGATCTCATGGCACCAGGCAGGACAAGCTGCTGCCACTGGAAAGCCTAGAATACCAGCTCCACAAAGGGATAAAGGCAACAATGTTTCTAGGGATGATGAGCTTCAAGATACCAGCCCATAAATCTGGGACTAGTCCAGGACCGATCTTGAGCCAGTGTGATCTGAGGGTGAGCAGGGACGAAGAAAACATTTTTGTGGCAACCTCTAATGGAAGCCAAAGGGCAAAGTTCTTCTCTCAGTTACACTGGGTGGACTTCAGTGGAGTCACTGTGGATTGACACATGTGTAACTGGCAGCACGCACGAGTACACTTTGTTCCTTCCGCCTACCTCAGGCTATTACTGAACAGGCTAATTTATAGCCAGAGATTAATTGCACTCAGTACATCCACTTCTTGTGCTTGCTCACGAGCTATTTACCCTCTCCTGCCTCTAAGCAATCACTTATGTTCCCGTGTCTTGCGTCTGCTCCCTTTGGAAAGAGGGGTCATCAGTGCAGGTATTAAATAAATAAATAAAACAAAACAACGTCTTAATATCGATATGGGCTAAAAAGCCTGGACAGCATGATCTGCTGGCAGGAGGCCTTCTGGGCCAGACGAGGACCCTGCCAAGGCAAGGAGGAACGCGGAGCTGAATTTCACTGTGAGCTTTGCTCACCACAGCCCGAGACCCGCTGCTGAGTCTTCACCGGGTGGGCCGTGGAAGCTGAAATCATCTCAGTTGGGGCTTTGGCCTCTTACTCCTTTTCATCTGAACCCCTCCAAGGATCTCCAAGCCTCACACCATGGGATAGTCAGCCCCATTTCACACAGGGGAAAGTGACGCACAGAGAGGTGATATGACTTGTCCATGGTCGTGCACAGAATCTGTAGCGGAGCCAGGAATAGAACCCAGGAGTCCTGACTCCCAGGACAACGGAATGAGATGACTTGATGCTTGCCACATCTTAGTGCTCAGGATAAATCACTGTCAGCTTCATGTCCGCTGTGACTGAATCCTGGTCCCAGAAGCTCCCCTGTTCTTACTGCTAAGCCACACTCCATTCTGGATCTTTCCCTTGCTCAGCACAAGTGCGACTAGTTGGCTAGAACTAAAAGTCAAAGTCTGGCTCTCCTTACACAGTTCTAGAGAGGAGGTGGAATCTTCATCCTCTCTGGGAAGTTCTGAGGGCCCTTCATTCTCATCGACTCAAGGGGCTAAGTTCTACCCATGAGTGGAGGGGAGATTGTGTTCATGGGTTCCAGGTGGTGGTTCAGAGACAGGAGAGACGCTCCCACAACATGTTCCCCGCAATGCTGATGAACCCCCTCTGCTGGGATCCATGGGGCTGGGGCTGTATTCCCTGGAGGGGGCAGCGCTGGCTGGGAGACACTGCTCTTTGGATGGAAGCTACTCTGGTAAATCACTGACTGTGGACGGCTCATGGAGCCGGGAGGAAGGAATGTCTATTTCCCTTTGATGGCGAGGCACTGGGCGGAGTTGCAACTGAGCTACTGCAATCTGTCCCGGACAGAATTCACCTTGTGCATGGCTTTCTGATTGCAGATCTCTCTCCCTCACACACACACACTCCTAGAAATGATAAGCCCTTTATATCTGAGCCTCTCTTTGGAGCATTTTTAATTCCCCTCTCTTACCTGGGCAGCCTGGATTTAGAGGGAAACTAAAAAATGCAGCAGCATCTCTCCTTGGAGCCCCGTTAAATCGGCCACACAGTATTTCTTGGGCTCCCGATGTGCCATTGCTCCCTGCCCCGACAGACGCTTTAATTGCCCCTCTATATGCCTGCTCCTTGATTGCAGGTCCAGAGCTGTTGCCTCCATTATCTCTGCTTGCGCATCCATTTCCTGCCTATTTTGCAGGAGAAAGGATGAGAGCCAGAATAGTGAACCGTGTGCGTACTCTCTTGCCCAGGTCCGGCCCAAGGTTATCGGACACCATCACAAGCCATTCATACCTGCAGCGCCTGGCCATGGTTCGGACAGATATGTCTCATCCTCGCTCTTGCAGCCTCATTTCCTCTCTGACTGGCCAGTTATCTTTTCTCATTAACATTTCCATTTTCTCCAGGCTTTATTGCCTGTCTCTGGCACAGGCCCTAATGCATGTTGCTGATTCCAGGCCTGCAGGGCACTCTCAGGGGAAACTGAATGGTGGCCTATTTAAAACCAAGCAGGGGTGATGCTGTTTTTCCACAGCACAATGCAACAAAACGGAGAGACGCAGCGGGAAACACAAGGCTAAAAGTTTATACGATCCCATGTCCGAGACCAGAGATCAAGTTGCAATAATAACATCCCAGTTACTCATTATTTTGGCCTTTGCATATGTTCTTGCAGGTTGGCTTGGGAGGCAAAGGTAAATTCAGGGAGGTGATAATTAATGGCGGGGGCTGTGAGGAGCTGGTTGGATCCCTTACAGTAATATGATGCTCTCCATGTTATCCCATGATCCCACTTTCTTAGCAGCGGGTGTAAATCCTGCTGTGAGATGTTAAGCAGGCTCTGCTGACTCATTATCCCAGCCAGGAATAAGGAAGATGGGAGTGATTCTCTAGGGAGTGCGAGGATCTAGGGTATGGGCTGAGCTGTCCTGCAGGAGAGGAGCCCTATGAGCAGCCAAGCCTAGGGAGGAGGCCTGAGCTGGACTCTATGTTTAAAGTTAATTTCTTTTGGGGTGCATTGCTCAACTGCTCTGATCCAGGAGCAGCTTCAGGAAGGAGTTATGACTCTCAATCACAATTCCTGTCCTGCTCTCTTCTGGTCCAGGGGTGGAAATAAGCTACTGTAGCCCTTGAAAGTGTTGTCTCTCCTCCGTGGTCCCAGGGAGGAGTATTCAGAAACGGGCTGCTCTCTGCCTCAGACAAGTCCTAAGATCTGGTAGGCTGTGCAAGGGGGTACAGGGGCCTTGCTTCCCTTCCTGGTGTAGTAAGACTAGGGCACAATCTAACCCTTTGTGAAAAAGGCCAACACCCCAGGAGGGATGCCTGACCCTACACGGTGGGTGGACAGCGTTTTAGAGCAGGCTGGGAGAGGCTCCAGTTCTGACGCTTTCACTCAGGAAGCCAGATGGCTTTGCACATTGCTGGTGTCTCTGCAGGAGGATTCAGCTCTGCCCGGTTCAGGTAATTGATGGGACCTGTAACTCTGCTTCACATCCTCTCTCTCCTTCATCAGTCTAACCCTAGTGGGTTTGTTCATGTGCTTTTTCGCTCATCAGTAATGTATCCTGGGAGGATTTTTATCTCCTTCCTCTGGAGCATCAGGAATGGCCCCGACTGGAGTTGTGGAGGGGGTGAGCTCTGAGGTGGTATCGAGCAGTCTCTGTCTTGGGTGCTTGTCTGGCTGATGCTTGTTCACATGCTCGGGGCCTGGCTGATGGCCATATGTGGGGTCAGGAAGGAATTGCTCCCCAGGTCAGATGGGCAGTGACCTTGGGGTTTTTCCACCATCCTCTGCAGCGTGTGGGTGCGGGTCACTTGCCAGGATTATCTGGGTCTCTCTCACTTAATCATTTCCCTGTCGCTGCCGGGGCCTCGGGCACTGGTGCACCTCCATCCCTCCTACTCTCTGCCTGTGGCATGTACTAGCCTAGGCTCCGGTGAGTCCCATTTCCTTCACTGGGTTTGGTGCGGGACTGCAGGATGTGTGTGGCTGATATTATAGATAGTCAGACTTGATGATCTAATGGTCATAGAATCATAGAAGAATCATAGAAGATTAGGGTTGGAAGAGACGTCAGGAGGTCATCTAGTCCAACCCCCTGCTCAAAGCAAGACCAACCCCAACTAAATCATCGCAGCCAGGGCTTTGTCAAGCCGGGCCTCAAAAATCTCTAAGGATGGAGATTCCACCACCTCCCTAGGTAACCTATTCCAGTGCTTCACCACCCTCCTAGTGAAATAGTTTTTCCTAATATCCAACCTAGACCTCCCACACTGCAACTTGAGACCATTACTCCTTGTTCTGCCCTCTGCCACCACTGAGAACAGCCGAGCTCCATCCTCTTTGGAACCCCCCTTCAGGTAGTTGAAGGCTGCTATTAAATCCCGCCTCTCTCTTCTCTTCTGCAGACTAAATAATCCCAGTTCCCTCAGCCTCTCCTCATAAATCATGTCCCTCAGGCCCCTGATCATTTTCGTTGCTCTTCGCTGGACTCTCTCCAATTTGTCCACATCCTTTCTGTAGTGGAGGGCCCAAAACTGGACGCAATACTCCAGATGTGGCCTCACCAGTGCCGAATAGAGGGGAATAATCACTTCCCTCGATCTGCTGGCAATGCTCCTACTAATGCAGCCCAGTATGCCGTTAGCCTTCTTGACAACAAGGGCACACTGCTGACTCATATCCAGCTTCTCATCCACTGCAATCCCCAGGTCCTTTTCTGCAGAACGGCTGCTTAGTCAGTCGGTCCCCAGCCTGTAGCAGTGCATGGGATTCTTCCGTCCTAAGTGCAGGACTCTGCACTTGTCCTTGTTGAACCTCATCAAATTTCTTTTGGCCCAATCCCCCAATTTGTCCAGGTCACTCTGGACCTTATCCATACCCTCCAGCGTATCTACCTCTCCCCCCAATGTAGTGTCATCTGCAAACTTGCTGGGGGTGCAATCCACACCATCCTCCAGATCATTAATCAAGATGTTGAACAAAACCGGCCCAAGGACCGACCCCTGGGCACTTGGCTTGATACCGGCTGCCAACTAGACATTGAGCCGTTGATCACTACCGGTTGAACCCGATGATCTAGCCAGCTTTCTATCCACTTTATAGTCCATTCATCCAATCCATCTGAGGTCCCTTTTGACCTTAAACCCTATGACTGACTCTATGAGTTACAAAAGATTAAAACTGCACAGCGTTTCCATTGCAGGCTCACACAGAGTTACAACCACAAGCATCATGTTCAGTAAGGCCTGGCGATAGCCACAGGACATGGATGGGGGTTTGTTTTGGCGGGGCGGTGGTATTGATACAATGTATGCCCCTTGGGTACCACTGCCAGGAAATGCAAGAGGGACTATTACAGTGGAAATAGGCAGGGGGAGGAGAGATCCTGTCACCTTTCAGAAAAGCAAAACAAAACTTAGGGGAAGAACGGCCAAGCTGGGTCGCATTTACTGGTGTTAGCCACCTTCGCTGCTTTGATTTCATATCAGGCTTTAGCAAACATTAGTTTAAAAAAATGACGCGGAATCCCTGGTATTGTTTATGATTATTTGTATTTCAACAGTGTGTAGAGGCCTCATGGTGCTAGGGGGCCACTTAGTGAGAGATAGAGCAAACAACCTAAATAGCCAGGCAAAGGGCAGGAAGCGAACCAGAGGCACAGGGAGGGAGTGACCGAGATCTCTTAATTGCTTGGTGACTCTCACTGTTTAAAAATACAGAAGACTGGCTAACTAGAGAGATGCAATTAGCCACTGAGTCTTGGCTCCTGGTAGTGCTACGTACATGGCACTTGGCGTTGGTTACTGTATGTTTGTGTCTGGCTCTGTACTTAGATTGGAAGCTCTTTGGGGCATTTTGTTCTGGGTTTGTGAAGTGCCTAGTGCAATGGGGTGATGGGCCATGACTGGGACTCCTGGCTAGTGCAGTAATACAAATAATTAACAACAATATTAATAACACTTATGTTTCTTTTATCAAGCCACATAACTTACACTCACTCAGTGTCTTGCCAACCAAGTCCCAGGGAGCTGGGACGGAGGGGACTGGGTTGGCAGGACATGGCCCCCTGTCAGTGTGGGGCATTGTGGGACGAAAGCCAGTAACAGTCAGTGTAAGCAATGCAGTGTTGCCCTTGACTCTATGCCACTCATGGAGGTGGAGTTATTAAGTTGGCGTAGCAGGGCAATTACGTCGGCAGGAGTGAATTTTAAGTGTAGACACTTCCAGAGTTAGGACGACATAAGCTGCCTTGTGTTGACCTAGCTCTGTAGTGTAGACTAGGCCTTGGAAAGCCTTGACTGTTCCCTCTGCAAACCGCCCCAAGGCAGCACAAGGACTGCAGCCCCATCTCTTCGTTTTTGGCTCGGCAGGTTGACACGGATGATGTTCTCACCAAGGAAGAGCAGATTTATCTGCTGGGTGAAGCGAAGGAGAAATGTCAAACAAATGTCAACACCCAGCTGGAGAAAATCAAAGGTACCGTCCCAGTTTGTGTCCTTTGTGCTCAGTCGGTGCCGAGAAAGCTGGTTAAACCACACAGAGCAAATCCTGCCTCTGTTGAAGTCAGTGGCAAAACTCCTGTTGAAGGCAGGATTTCACCGGGGGGCTTTACTCCAGGCCCTCGGAAGTGAGTGGGAATCTGTCCATCACCTTCAGTGAACACTGGGCCAGATTCTTTAGGCTGCAGGTTCTTTGAGGGCAGGGACCATCTTTTTGTTCTGTTTCTGTACAGCTCTGCAGGGCTCTTAGCCATCACGATGCTACAAATAAATAACAATAATGCTAGGCTGGCCATCTGCAGCTTGCTGGCCTCATCCTGAAATCACCAGTTGTGATGCCACAAACAAACCCCAGCAGGGGGAGTCCTGCTGGAAGCCTTTCCCTCATCGGAGTGAGACGCTTGTAAGCAGATGTGCTGTGATGCCCCCTGCCTGTAGTAATTGCCTAGGAACCAGTGTTTCTGTATAAGAAACCTACAGCATCTGGAAGTGTCCTGGTCTGGGTCATTTCTAGGCAGCTGGTCTATAGCACTGGGTGCCCGGGGCAGTAGCATGTGGAGGCTAGAGTTAGCCAGGTGAATTAGCTTGTGGTGCAAGGTGCTGACATGTGGTGTGTACACTTCAAACACTAACCTCTGCTGGAGGCAAGATGCTGGGCCAGGTGCTCCAGAGGACTAGTCCAGCATGGCAAGTTGCATGTGCTCAGTCAGCTCTGAATAGCAAGGTGGGGCCCCTTGACTTTCTCACGGACACACTAATGCAAAATTAAATAATACATACAGTAAAGGTTTCAGAGTGGTAGCCATGTTAGTCCGTATCAGCAAAAACAATGAGGAGTCCTTGTGGCGCCTTAGAGACTAACAAATTTATTTGGTCATAAGCTTTTGTGGGCACAAACCAACTTCATCAGATGCATGGAGTGAAAATAAAGGAGCAGCTTTAAATACATGAAAGGATGGGGGTTGCTTTACCAAGTGTGAGGTCAGTCTAACGAGAGAAATCAATTAACAGCAGGATACCAAGGGAAGAAAAATAACTTTTGAAGTGGTAAGGAGTGGCCCATTACAGACAGCTGACAAGAAGATGTGAGTAACAGTAGGGAGAAATTACTATTGGGGAAATTAAGTTTAGCTTTTGTAAAGACCCAACCCAACTCAATAACAGACCTAAAAGTGGCAATTCTTCAACAACAAAACTTCAAAACCAGACTCCAACATGAAGTTGCAGAACTGGAATTAATTTGCAAACCGGATACCATCTATTAGGCCTGAATAGACACTGGGAGTGGTTGGGTCATTACAAAACCTAAACTTAATTTCCCCAATACTAATTTCTCCCTACTGTTACTCACACCTTCTTGTCAGCTGTCTGTAATGGGCCACTCTCTTACCTCTTCAAAAGTTATTTTTCCTCCCTTGGTATCCTGCTGTTAATTGATTTTTCTCATTAGACTGACCTCACACTTGGTAAAGCAACCCCCATCCTTTCATGTATTTATACCTGCTCCTGTATTTTCCACTCCATGCATCTGATGAAGTGGGTTCTAGCCCACAAAAGCTTATGCCCAAATAAATATGCTAGTCTCTTAGGTGCCACAAGGACTCCTCGTTGGCTTTACACACAGTAAAGGACAGCCTGCTAATGGGCAGGCAGGAGGTGAGCTGGGATTACTGCTGCTGAGCAGCTAAGAACTGAGGCCATCCCGTTCTATTTATTTGTTATCTTGTCTCTCTCACCCCACCCCAGCCTGCTTGTTTGCCTCATCTAGCTGCTCCAGCTTGTCTAGTTACACCGTAAGGTCTTTGGAACAGGGATTGCCACTTATTATGTTTGTCCAGCGCCTTGCGTCATGGGGTCCAAGCTTGCTGTGGCCAGAGCATGCAACATAAACGTGAAATAATAATGATACCAGTAATGAGCCGGGTCTTTGCTTATTTGGCTAGATGCCAGCTGCTTTCCGGAATGGGATGGAATTATCTGCTGGCCCGAGGGCTCCCCAAGCCAACAGGTGTCTGTCCCATGTCCAGAGTACATCTACGACTTCAACCATAAAGGTACACTTGGAAAACATCCCTGCCTGCCCCAGCTTCACCTCACTGGCTTTGCAAGTTCAACAGATGGTTTTCAAAGACGTCTCAGAGAGAGTAGCTCAAATCACTTCAATTTCACCCCTATGAACATCCCAGACAAGGTGCTTTGATACTGATATGATGAGCACAGCCTAGCTCAGCTGAGGACAGGCTCAGACCAGTCCTAGTTAGTTAACAGGGATGAGCAACACCTAAGCATATTATCCTGGATTAGTACCCATGAGCATGTCTCTCCCTAGCACTCAACCCCCGGCCACTGTTGCAGCCTGCTGCCGTCTCTAACAGCTAACGGTGATTGTGGTGTGTGCCTGTGATTGATGGTTTGATCCCACCTGAGGTCTGGAGCCATCGGTTGTTGCAGGAACATGGGATTAAAAGGCTGTTACAAGGGAGGAGGGTGAAAAAATTGTTCTCGTTCACCTCTGAGGATAGGACAAGAAGCAATGGGTTTAAATTGCAGAAAGGGAGGTTTAGGCTGGACAGTAGGAAAAACTTCCTGTCAGGGTGGTTAAACCCTGGAATAAATTGCCCAGGGAGGCTGTGGAATCTCTGTCATTGGAGTTTTTTAAGAAGAGGTTAGACAAACCCCTGTCAGGGATGGTCTAGATAATATTTAGTCCTGTCTTGAGTGTAGGGAACTGGACTAAGTGATCTATTGTGGTCCCTTCCAGTCCTATGATTTGCTCTGCAATGGCTTGGCCCATTGGGTTTCTTGGAGGTCCAACCACCCTGACCCTGTCCTTGTTTTCAGGCCATGCCTACAGACACTGTGATGCCTATGGGAATTGGGAGCTAGCGCTCAACATCAACAAGACGTGGGCGAACTACACGGAATGCACTGAGTTTCTCACCCCTGAGCGCCGGAGCCGAGAGAAGGTGAACTACAGCCAGAGGGAAGGGACGTGGGGTGGGGTAACTGAGGAGAGGTGCCGCTGGAGGCTGGGGAAGCCCCTGAGCTCAGAATGACTGCTGGCAGCAAAGCAACCTTCTACTGTAGGGGGATAGAGGCAGCTCCAGACTCTTCACTGGGGGGAGGGATAGCTCAGTGGTTTGAGCATTGGCCTGCTAAACCCAGGGTTGTGAGTTCAATCCTTGAGGGGGCCATTTGGGATCTGGGACAAAAATTGGGGATTGGTCCTGCTTTGAGCAGGGGGTGGGACTAGATGACCTCCTGAGGTCCCTTCCAACCCTGATATTCTATGATTCTATGAACCTGGTGCTCATCACATGTCCTGATTAAATGCCTTTGCCACCTTCTCCCGTGTGCTGGTGGGAGCTTCTATTTGCTCATCTTCCTCCAGCGACAGCCAAAAGGGATCAGCTTGCTGATTTTACCCCTCTAACTACTCAAAACCAGAGGTGGGGGAAAGGTGAAGATTTCCTCCTCTGCCCCCAGTAGTTTGGGGAGGGGTGGAGGGTGGGAAGTGGGCTTGTTGTGTCTGCCCCCTGCTGTCCAGATGCCAGAGCTGATTCAGCAGAATCCCAGGCCTGGCCAGCTGCTTGGCCTCATGTGCATCCTGCTTCTGAGTGCAGTCAAAGCTCCAGGTCTGAAAGCCCATGAGCGGTAGGCAGCAGCCGTGCCCAGGCAGGCAGATGAGAACCTCCCCCTTGGTGGAGTCACACAGGAGCTGAGCTGGGAGCCTCCTCCCATGGTGAGCTGGCCTTGGCTAGAAGTCACCTTTCCATGACTGAGCCAGCAGGAGATGTGCCAGGTTGGTCTCACCTGGTGGCCATCTCTGTTGTCTAAGCTGGTAGGGTACATTAGGGCTCTGCATGTCCTACTTTGCTTCCTGTGATGTAGCTGTGAGCATGGGCCATCGGGGACCATCCTGTGTCCTTCCCTTCCAGGAGGTGTTTGACCGCCTGCACATGATGTACACCATCGGCTACTCCATCTCCCTGGCCTCCCTCATCGTTGCCGTGGGCATCCTCTGCTACTTCAAGTAAGAAGGAGCAATTGACCACTCCCCTTTCATCCTCTAGCCCCTGCACTCACCCTGTGTTCCAGGAGAGCCCCACACAGAGTCACCAGCCAGCAGGTGGCCAGATTAGATCAAAGAAAGCCCAACCCAAACAGTGGCTCAAGTCTCAGGCCAAACCACAGACCATTTCCCAAAGTCCAGAAACATCCGGATCCATTTTATTCTGCATTTCTCACAGAGCTGGGCCAGATGGCCAGAGCCAAACAGCCCTACTTTCTGGGGGCTTGACATGCAAAGCTCAAGCCAGATCCAGCTTTTTATAAATGGAGCCTTGTCAAGGTTCCTCCCCCCCTCTGAACTCTAGGGTACAGAAGTGGGGACCTACATGAAAACCTGCTAAGCTTACTTTCACCAGCTTAGGTTAAAACTTCCCCAAGGTTCAAATTAATTTTATCCTTTGTCCCTGGATCTCCACTGCCACCACCAAACTCTAACTGGGTTTACTGGGAAACATAGTTTGGACATGTCTTTCCCCCCAAAATCCTCCCAACCCTTGCACCCCACTTCCTGGGAAAGGTTTGGTAAAGATCCTCACCAATTTGCATAGGTGACCACAGACCCAAACCCTTGGATCTGAGAACAATGAAAAAGCATTCAGTTTTCTTACAAGAAGACTTTTAACAGAAGTAAAGAAATCCCCTCTGTAAAATCAGGATGGTAGATACCTTAAAGGGTAATTAGATTCAAAACATAGAGAATCCCTCTAGGCAAAACCTTAAGTTACAAAAAAGACACACAGACAGGAATAGTCATTCTATTCAGCACAGTTCCTTTCTCAGCCATTTAAAGAAATCATAATCTAACACATACCTAGCTAGATTACTTACTAAAAGTTCTAAGACTCCATTCCTGTTCTATCCCCGGCAAAAGCAACATACAGACAGACACAGACCCTTTGTTTCTCTCCCTCCCCCCAGCTTTTGAAAGTATCTTGTCTCCTCATTGGTCATTTTGGTCAGGTGCCAGCGAGGTTACCTTTAGCTTCTTAACCCTTTACGGGTGAGAGGATTTTTCCTCTGACCAGGAGGGATTTTAAAGGGGTTTACCCTTCCCTTTATATTTATGACAAGCCTATATTTACAATGGGCCAGCCCCAAAACCTTGGTTCCGCCCCCTCTCCATGCCCCCAAACTCACTGAGCCTCACGGCTCCTGGTTCAGTTCCTCAGCTGTTTGTGAGGACAGGCAGGTGTTTGACACTGACGCGTTGCTGACTGGGTGAGTGTTTGTCACTGACGTGCTTCCTCTCCTGGGGGCAGGCACCTGCACTGTACACGGAACTACATCCACATTCACCTCTTTGCCTCCTTCATCTGCCGGGCCGCCAGCATCTTCGTGAAAGATGTGGTGCTTTACTCCGGCTCGCTGCCCGAGGAGCCGGAGAAGATGCGAGTAGATGATTTAAAGGGCGAGTTGGGCCCCTTTCTGGGACACCGGACCCAGCTGGCAAGTAGCTGAAAAACTCATCTTCCCTCTTCATTTTCCCCAAGCCCACAGGGAATAAAGGGGAGGGAAAGAGGAGTTAGGAATCCTGGAGAAGTGTGAAGAGATGTGGGGGGAGGGAGGGAATTCTGGGCTGCACCTCGTGGAGGAAGGCGCAGACCAGGAAGAGGGTGGGGAGAGGGGGCTTTAAGCTACTTTTGAGTTGTCCAGATTCTGCACAGCCCCTGCTATAAACTAGAGCAGCCTCTGGGGTCGCTCTAATTTATGGCAGCTTTATCCGGACTGTGTCATTATGGGCTCTTGCGGGGACAATGTAGGACCACCTGTTACTGCCCTACACTTTGCCTGAGTCTGAGGGAATTTCTCCTCCGCCCATTGCAGTGCCTTGGCCACCCCTGTACGCCACTGAAGCAATGTCTGTACAGAGTCTGGGGTTGCGGGGGGACAATCTCTCCCTGGAAGGCCGAGAAGCAGAGAGATGCAGCTGTGTCTATTATCTTGCAAGAGATGAGTGTGGAGGATTGCAGCTCCCGCTTTAACAAAAGGGTGAATTAATGAGCAAAGAGCTAGTCCAAGGAGAGTGTAGATCAGCACAGCTGCCCGCCGTTATTCACAGTAGTGCTCAGCACAGCTCAGGGAAGCCAGTGCTGTGATATGGCTTAAAAGGCTTCTGTTAATCCTTAAGGGGCTGGGGGGAAGGGGGAGGGAAGGGGCAACACCTACACAATTTGGCCCTAGCCTTTCCAGCACATACCTGTTACCCCAATAAAACCATGAGCTGTGTGAGCGAGTGCAAATGACCCTTTGGTTGCTGGATTGCATGCTATTTCACAACACTGGGCATCACACTGGTTTTGTGCCGGCCCTGCCCCCTCCATTCCAACCTCTTAGTGGGTGGGAACTTCCCCCATTCCTACTCCGACAACTTCCTCCCTTAAGGGCAGGAGGCAGGTCAAAGCCAGAGTAACCGCTGCCGGGCGGGACCTAAAGGAGAGTAGCGAGGGGGCCTCCCTGTCTAAGATCATGGCCCTGATCTCTCAGGAGGGGGGACGTGTAGAGGAATTGAGGCCCTAATGTGGTTCCCATTTCTCCATGACCACAGGTGGGCTGCAAGGTGGTTGTGACACTTTTCCTTTATTTCCTGGCCACCAACCACTACTGGATTCTGGTGGAGGGGCTCTACCTGCACAGCTTGATCTTCATGGCCTTCCTCTCCAACAAGAACTACCTGTGGGTCCTCACCATCATTGGCTGGGGTAAGCACAGACACTGCTCCCACCAAAAGCGCATCCACCTGCCATGCTGACTGGGAGCTCCAGAGCATCAAAGCGCACTGTGAAATTTGTAGCGAATGGTAAAGCAGGGTCCACACGGCTAGTTAGTGCACTGCAAGAGAGTACTCTGTGTTGCGGTCCAAATACAAGACAGAACAAGGCTTTAAGCAAGCAAGCAGGCTGGTCTGCCGAGGGGCTGGTCTGCCTGTCAGCTTTCCACCCTCTCTTTTATTTCTCTCCCTCCTCCTGCGCATTACATACTCCAACAGATAAAAGGAATGCACTGGCTTTGTTTAATATTCTTATTTACCAATTTCTATCTACCGCATTCCTTGCTCTCGGGCCTTGAGCCCAGTCCTGGGAGGCTTCCCACGGTTTATGTCATCTGGGCAAGTTTCCAAGGTTCATGCCCTTGAGAGGAGCTGTGTGTGCACTGCTCCTACACAACACTCAAGGTGTGCCCTGAATGTTGCCAAGCGCATGAACCCTGTATGAATCCTACAACTCTGTAGAGTCACACCTTGGTTTGACACACACTAAGTCTCTGTGTAGACAAGCCCTAAAGGAGAATCTATTTTAAGCAGCACAGGGCATATGTCACGCAGGTCAGCAGTTCTGATTCCAGCTAGGAGAGGGCAGTGGGACACCTAAATTCCTGGCGTTGGTTCATTTTGCAAACCTGATGCTTCAACCATACTGCCTGTTCTGTTTCCCTCCAGGTCTCCCTGCTGTATTTGTGTCTGTTTGGGCCAGTGTCAGGGCCTCCCTGGCGGATACACAGTACGTAGGTTCAACTTCTTTTCCAAAGGACCATTTGGGAGGGTGAGAATTGGCCTGTAGTGCAAATCTCTCTGCCTGATCCTATTGAATTGGGTGGTTGCAATCTGCGGATGACCAAATCTCTGAATTGCTAGACTGAGGCTTTTATGGAGGAGAGGGAGATTAGAACATATACATACCAGAAGGTTAAAAATGCAGGCAATTGATAAGGGAAGCTAAAGGTATCAACAAAAATCTATGGCCAACAGGGGTATGGAGAATAAAAAGGAATTTTTTAAACATATCAGGAACAAAAGGAATCTGAACAAAATTAGGATACAATTTTCAGTAATGATATAGAAAAGGCAGGTGTTCCATAAATATTTTTGGTTTGTATTTAGAATGAAGCTAGATGATGTTTTCATATCATATAAGGATGATGAAATACAGTAAGGAGGATGTTAAAAGGTATCTACTAAAATTAAACATTTTAAAGTAACCAAATCTAGATAACTTGTACCTAAGAGTTTTAAAAATAAAGAGTTGGCCAAGATGTTCTAAGGACATTAATTTTTAAACTACTTATAAAAAACTGAGAAAACTCCAGATGACTGGAAGAAATTGTGCCAAAATTTACAGAAGGCAAATATAGGGCAGTTTGTCTGACATTGACCGTGGGCAGAATACTGGAACAAGTGATAAGTGAATCAGTTACTAAAGAATTTAAAAAAAGGAAAGGAGTACTTGTGGCACCTTAGAGACTAACCAATTTATTTGAGCATGAGCTTTCGTGAGCTACAGCTCACTTCATCAGATGTTTACCGTGGAAACTGCAGCAGACTTTATATACACACAGAGAATATGAAACAATACCTCCTCCCACCCCACTGTCCTGCTGGTAATAGCTTATCTAAAGTGATCAACAGGTGGGCCATTTCCAGCACAAATCCAGGTTTTCTCACCCTCCACCCCCGCACATAAATTCACTCTCCTGCTGGTGCTAGCCCATCCAAAGTGACAACTCTTTACATAATCAAGTCGGGCTATTTCCTGCATAGATCAAGGTTTTCTCACATCTCCCCCCCCCCCCCCCCCCCATACACACACAAACTCACTCTCCTGCTGGTAATAGCTCATCTAAACTGACCACTAAAGCCAATCAGCATAATTTTGTGGATTAGGCCTTGTCAAATAAACATGATATTGTTCACTGAGATTAGAAGTTTGATTTATAAAGGTATCTGTTGGTGTAATATTCTTCTGTAAGGTTTTTGACAATGTACAGCATAACATTCTGATAAAAAAATTAGCACTATACAAAGTCAATATGGCCCATATTCAATGTATTAGATTCACACCATAATTGTTAATGGAAAATCATCAGTGAGGGTGTGTGTTTCTGGTGGGGTCCCACAAGGATTGGTTCTGGGCCCAACGCCATTGACTACTTTTCTTAATGATCTGCTAGAAAATATAACGTAATTGCTGATAAGAGTTTGCAGCTGACAGATGGGTGGTGGTGTGTGGGGTAAATAATGAAGACAGGTCACTGATACAAAGCAGTCTTATTATTATGAAAAAGCCCCCTCCTCTTTCCTGCAGCATGCAGAACAGAGTTCTGCCATGGGAGAGATCTGACCCAGGATCTGGATTTTGTTGACTTCTTTTAAAGTAACATATGTGACTCTCATTGGTTATGTTTTGGGGTGCAAATGTGCGTGGCAGAATCACCCCAGCTGTAGGACCAGCCTTCTGCCCGCCCAGGCTCAGTCCAAGATGGAAAGGGGGAGCCATCAACGGGCTATATTCCTCACCCCTTATTTCAGGTTTCTCCAAAGCATTTCTTACTGGTCTCCTCAGATGCTGGGACCTCAGCGCTGGGAATATGAAGTGGATTTATCAAGTCCCTATCTTAGCAGCCATCGTGGTAAGAATTCTCTGGCAGACTTGTCCTGATCCCAGTCACCTAAAAAACCCAACTGGATTCAGTAGATATAGAAATGGGCGAATCTCCTTTCTCCAATCCGTGCATTGTTTGCCATAGTATCTTGGCAATGTCTGCTTTGTCATCTCTTACAGGGCTCAGTCCTGAGAGATGCTGATCCCTGGGGCCTGATTCAACAAAGCATGTAGGGCCAGATTTACAAAGGTTCATAGGAGCTTAACTGCCACTGAAATCAGTGGGAGTTGGGCATCTAAGCAACATTGAGGATCTGAGCCTTATAGTCTAAAGATACAGATACGCACCTAACTTGCTTGGGGACTTTTGTACACCCCGCCCCCCCTTAGCACTTACCTGCATCCTTCAGTGCCTAAAGATCTTTCTAAACCTGACCCTTAATCACACACTTGCTGAAGCCCATCGCCCCTAGCAGGACTAAGCCCATGCTCTCTGTTTAACAGGCAGGTGTCCCACTCTCTTGTGGTTAGAAGTTGTGCATGCTACAGGTTTACTTACCCTGAGAAAATTCTTATCACCCTTTCATTTATATTTGAAAGAAGCGCTGTTTAGTGCTCTGAGCCACACATGTTGGCTTTGTAACCAGAAGCTTTCACAGACGTATTTTCATAAGCTTAAGAAAAGAGGGTCATTTGAAAGAACGTAATTAGAAGAAGAAAAGGGTCTTAGCACCTAGGCCAGTGGGGCCCTGGGCCAGGACTGGGGCTCCTAGGAACTACCAGGATCAGCGTTAACTGGAGGCACTGGTGGCCACTTGAGGGCTCACCGTCCCAGCTACGTGACGAACAAGACTGTCAAACGAGGATCATTTTCAATGAGGAGGGTTATTAGCCACCCAGACACGGGGTTTATTTTCAAAAACATTGTGGCCTGATTCTTTGTTGCCCCTCTGTGTGTGTGTGTAGTCACCTACGTTGGTGCAAAGGGAGTGCAAAATACCACCCTTGCAATTGGGTAGCAGGGCAGGTATAAGTATTTCACTGGTATAAGTGCAGGGCAGGACATTTATATCCAGTCCTTAGCTAGAGGAGATCACTTAGGGTGCGTCTACACAGGGAACTTATTCTGGGTATGAATTCAAAGCACTATAGCTGTTCTGGAATAGCTCCCTATGTGGACACTCAGCTACAATAGTTACGCTGGTCACTTTCCCCTCACGGACAAGCCCTTAGCTGGCCACATTCTGCGTGCATGGCTTGTAAGGTGATTGTGGGTGTGTGTCGGCAGGTGAATTTCGTCCTCTTCCTCAACATTGTGCGGGTTCTGGCGTCGAAGCTCTGGGAGACAAACACGGGGAAGCTAGACCCTCGGCAGCAGTACAGGTGAGCAGCAATGTGCAGCTGCCACTTGACTTGATGAACCTTCTGCTTGAGTGGAGATAGCATCTCGGCCCAGACTATGGTGCAGCAGAGGAAACGGTACTAATAGCTGGCTCTTAACATAGCACGTCCCATAGATCTCAAAGTGATAGATCTCAAAGTGCTTTCAAAAGGAGGTCAGGATCTCTATTCCCCATTCTACAGAAGAGAATTGACTTGGCCAAGGTCACCCTGCTGGCAAACAGTAGAGGCAAGATCAGAACCTCTGTCTCCCACACACTGTCCTATCCACTGCCATGTAGCATTCAGCCTCCAGCACTGGCCAGTAGACGAGGTCTCTAGAGTGGGGTGGGACATGCCCATTCAGCCACCTGAGCGATGCATTTTTATTCTGGGCAAAGGGAGGTGTGAATTTTTCCCAGCCCCCCACAGCCAATCTGCTTTCCCCTGAAGAACAAAGTGCTTTGTCACTTTTTGCTGTAGCAAATATCACACCCCCAAAAGCTTTTTATTTTGCTCCATATAGTGCCACTTAGGATTTGGGTTAGATGCACATCCTGCCTTGGACTGGAAACTCAGCAGCGCTCCCAAGATAAGTAAGCAATGGGAGATTGTAAGGAAAACCCAATGGTGCTAGTGTTCTCTGACCCAGTGCATCAGCTGCTAGGGGGCACTGTGCCATAAATCAGATGCTGAACACTCATGGGCATTAAATATCCCCGAGTCCTCTCTGTGAGATTAGGGGCAGCCTCAGCATCCTAGTCTTCTTTTCGAACCCCACCTCCCTGCAGTTTCACCTGGAGACAGGATTCACTTCCTTTTTTTAACCTAAACTGTTGTCTGTTGCTGCTGTGTGTTGTCAATCAGCTGCCATGTTCCACCTGAGAGGTGGCTGCCTTGCAGTGGCAGGTGAAGTACTTGCAAAGAGCATTTGGGGTGGAAAAATGCTATAAGAAATGTAAGGTTGTTACTGTTTTATCCAGGGTATTGTAGGATAAATCCTAGGCGGTGGCTGAAAAGCTGAGGACAGAGGGTTAGAGAGAGCAGCTGCAGACAAACCTGTGGAATGGTTTTACCTTTCAGGAAGCTGCTGAAGTCCACCCTGGTGCTGATGCCACTCTTTGGGGTCCATTACGTGGTGTTCATGGCAATGCCCTACACTGAAGTCTCCGGCGTCTTATGGCAAATACAGATGCACTACGAGATGCTGTTCAACTCCTCGCAGGTACGTCTGCAGCCCTCCCACTCTCGCCCAGCTCTCCTCTTGCTGCATGGTCCAGTGCTGGCTCCAAAGGCAGAAAGATGATCTGTGAGGCACTTGGCAGAGGTAGCGGTAGGCATGTTCTGAGGGGCCCTGAAATGCACCTTCGCTTCCTATGTGCTCATGGGTTAAGGGCCCTTTTGAAAGCCCCCCTCAATCCCCTGCTGTGTCTGCCAAGCGGTTCAGTGCGTCTCCTGGAGCCTGTGATAGGAGCATTGCAGGGCGCCTCCCTGTGCAGCAACACAGCCCTGAAGGTGCACTGCCCTCAGCTCCCTCTTCTAGCACTTGTCAGAGCTCCGCCCAATTCCCCCTTTACGGGTTTCTTTTATTAAGTCTCTTACCGTGTATTAACAAAGCTGTTCCTTCACCCCTCAAATCCAACCCTTGCTCTCCCCTTGATTGAGGGGTCCCACAGCCCTCCTCCTAGGGACCGTGCTGATAACTCAGGCTGGCTGTAGCCCTCATTCACCATCTCCAAGCTAGCACCTTGGAAGTCCAGCCATTTGCTCTAGACTGGGAGAAGCAGACACCTCCCTTCTCTTTCTTTGCATCTCTGGAGGCTTCCCTTTTATCTCCAGCCCTGGACTGAGTTAAGCACATGACCTGCCCATCAGGTGGCTGAATTCATTTTCCCCACCTGGGCAGAGGTGGCACCATTACCCCTTAAAGGGACAGTCACCCCGTGACAGAGTCCCCTCCTGGGACACGCACCACAGTCTGGCTGTAGCTGCCCTGCATAGATGGTGCCCGTGGAAGAGCTGGTCTGTTAAACAAGCTGGGACCAGTGCACGGAGTGGGGAGAAAGCCATGTGGGGGCCAAGTGGGGCTGTTGTCCTGGTGGAATGGCCACAGACATGCATAAAACAAATAGAAATGGGGCCAAGGTGCCTGGAGCCCTGAGCTCTCTGGACCTGCCAGGGAGTGAGCAGCACTGGGCACATGCTGGGAGTTTGTTTCCAGCACCCCCAGGTGAAAACTCGCTCTTTCTTGGTCTCTCGGCAGGGTTTCTTTGTGGCTTTTATCTATTGCTTTTGCAACGGGGAGGTAAGTGAGATGGGCTCAGCCCTGCAGCTTGTCCCTGGCTCTGGTAGGTACATGGGTGCCTTTCCAATCCTGTCATCTTATGTGGGAGCTCAGCCTGGGCTGTGGGAAGCGCAGATCAGAGCTACTATCCTGAGCCCAAGGGGACCCATGGGATTTCTCCCTCTGGGGCTGTTCAGGGGGGAGGCAGCTCCTTTTCCCTCTGACCTTGTGGAACCCCTGTCCTTGGAACAGATTGTGAAATAACCTTTGACTCTTACGTGACTTGGCACAGTCCTCATGGAGCAGGAGGGAAACTGTCCTTGACTTGCACTGAGGTGCGGAGCACCAGCCTAAGCCCAGGCCCTACTGGGGGTAGTGTGTATGTCACCCTAACTTGGCCCTCATTGGCCCCCTTGCTGATAGTCTCAGGCTAAGGACTGTAGAGGCTGAGTGCCCCCCTCTAGCCCTATAGGAGATCAATCAGGAACAGAGGTGAGTCAAGTCAGCCAGGCAGCCTAAGGACCGTGTTTGCGGCCCCTGCCTATAGGGTGCCTGGTCTGTGGGAGAAGAGGTCTAGTCCCCGGGCCATTAACCGGGGGCCATCCAGCTTCATGCAATTCACTCTCAGTGTGAACGGAAACACCAGACTTGCTGCCTGGCTGGAGAACACTCCTGAGTTCACCCTGGCCCCAATCCTGTGCCCCTGGCCATCAATGGGAGTGAGATTGGACCCACACTGAGCTCTCTGGATCAGAGTGCCTGCTTTGACCCGAAGCCAAGGGGTGATGAAGGCAGTCGGCTCCTCCTCGGAGTTGCTCACCACCTTACAGCATTTTCTCTGGTGCTGTGTTGCCTGATGTTCGCTTGCCCAGTGATCCGTAAAGCTGAGCCCGTGTGGAGTGCAGGCTGGACTCTGTGCCGGCTGAGTCCACTGACCAGCCTCCTCCTGGTCACCAGTATGGGAGAGAGATCCCCTGAGTAACCCCCCTCCCTCAATGTAGCTTGGAAGGGAAGGTCAAGGGATGGATGGAGCAGACACTGAGGAGATGGGTGGGGCTGCAGAGAAATGCCCTTTTCCCCACAGCAAACCCCGTCGGGGGGCCCTGGAATCTTATTGCCATCTCTGTACTCAGGCTTGGGGTATTGTGAGGTGTGTGCCGAGAGGCCTGGTGGCTGGCAATGCCTGTGCAATTTTCTTTTTCTATTGCCCTGCCCTGACAGGCCGGCTCTCTCCCTCAGGTGCAGGCGGAGATTAAGAAAGCTCGTTTCCGGAGGAGCCTGGCGCTGGACTTCAAGCAGAAAACACGAGTCACCAGCACAGGGGGGAGCTGCTATTATGGTGGGCTGGTGTCACACACCACCAACAGCGTCAGCATGAGCATCACTGGACGGGGGGCAGCAGGGGCAGGGATGCAGCAGAGTGCCAAGCATCGGGTCCTGCCACTGTCCCCACATACCAGCCTGCTGGGATATATCCCAAGCTCCTCTGCTTCCGACAACTCTGTGCCCTCCCCAACCCAAGAGATTCCCCAGAAGGCCCCTGGGGAGAATGCCAAGGACGTTGTGTGTTTCCCAGACCTGGGTCAAAGTCATTCCAGCCTGAGTAAAGAGGTGGAGACTATGCTATGAAGAGAGCAAGCATGTCTCCAACCAGACCCTCCAGACGGGTCTGGAAAGAGTTTGTAGTGTCATGTGGCTGCCAAAAGGGTGACTGTAGTTTTGGGCTGTCTGTGAACAGGCATTATGCCAAGCAGAATGGTTGCAATGGTCCCTCTGGCTGTAGCTCTGTTGTGACTGAACCTGGAGTACAAGGTTCAGTGGTAGGCAACATGCTACCACATAAAAAAGTGGGGAAATTGGATGGTCAAAGAAGAGCAAGAGAAATGATCAAGGGACTGGCAAAGGAGAAAAGATGTAAAGAGCTCAAACTGGACAGCTTAGCTAAGAGGCAACGTGGGGATGGGAATCTGCTGGTTTGGGGCCATAGGGCCTAAAGAGGTAGTCCTCTTCTGCACTGTACTTTTAACTTTAGGCACAAGCAGGCCCCTTGAAATCCACTGAACTACTGTGATTTTAAAGGGAAGCATGTGTTTAAATGCTTTGCTGAATCAGGGCCTTTGAGAGCAAATTAGTAAAGCTTGGTCATTCCCCACCATGTTGGCTTTCAGAGGAATGATTGACAGGGTGGAGGGTAATCCCAGAACAGTTGGTAGCTAAGTTTCACACTACAAAACTCAAAGAAAGGAGGCGGCAGGCTGTCAGCTCAAGCCCACAAACAAGGGCAGTCAGACAGGTCAGTCCGGTGGAATGGACGTGGCTTGGACCATCGTGCCAGGCCAACGAGCTGTGCACTGTTTCACTGCAAGCTGGAGCGTGCTTGGGGAGGAGTTCAGTATCAGTCTGTCAGCCAACCCAAGTGAGCACTGGGTTTTGCTGAATGGTGACCCCCCACCCCCCGCTCCTCCAACTGACATGCTAGTAAGGGCAAGTGCTGTGGGCGCTGCTCTGGGGGTGGAAGCCCACAGACATTCTCACCCGGAAGCTTTTATTGAAACCAGGCACAAATAGTGACTCCTTTAGTGCTTTCTATTAGGAAGAGGCAGCGTTGTCTAGTGGGTAGGGCACTGCACTAGGAGTCAAGAGATGTGGTTATGTTCACATCTCGGCCACTGACTTGCTGCTGGGTGATCCTGAGCAAGTCGCTCCCTCGCCCCTGTGCCTTTTCCCCTCTGTCTAGTCTATTTGGACTGCAAAATTGCTGGGGCAGGGAGTCTCTGTGTTTCTACTGTGCCTAGCACAATGGGGCCCTGATCACTGTTGGGGGCTTCTACCTATCACCAACATATAACTACAAAACTGAGCCGGGCCCTCTTCTAATGCAGTTAATTGCCCCGTCTTGCTAAATGACACTTGCTGATTCAATTGGACACAGGAATGTTCTTTCCTTGAGGTGTACGTTGTAAATGTTCCATCCTGCCCGTGGTGGCACATCAGTAGTAATTCCTTACCTGTCTCCCAAGTGATGAGGGGAGGTTCAATTGACAGCAACGGCACATAGTGCTTTGAGATGCTTTGATGAGAGGTGGTCCTTTAATCTGGCTGCACAAGTGGAATGATGGGGCCTATTTTCATGAGTGCTAAGCAACCACAACTGCAGTTAAATGGTCAAAGTTTGCTCAGTACCTCTTAAAATCACGCACATGTGTATCGCCTTCCATAGGAGGATCCAATTGCTATACAAATAGCCGCAGAGCCTTCACATCACATCTAGCAGCTAGAAGAGTTTATCCCCATTTTACAGAAAGGGAAACTGAGGCACAGTGAGGGGAAGTGACTTGCCTGATGTCACAGAGGCAGAAATAGAATCCTAGCACCCTGATTTAGACATCGAACCATGCTCCTAAGCAAGTGTTTTCTTCTAACATGGATCATGCTCCCACTCTCCTGGAAGAAACAAGTTCCTAGAGCGACTCCAGCAAGGCCTCCTGTCTTACACGCACATTCTTTTCTTGACTGGCCAACACGCAATGCACTAAACACACTGACACTTTGTTCTCTGGAGAAGGCACCAGCCCCTTTGTGGATCTAACACAAGCCTGCGAGCTGACTTTTATAGTTCCCTGGCACTGCTCGGTATTTGCTCGTTAAAATCTGAGAGGCCTCTGGTAGCTTAGACACCACAGTGAGGAATTTCAATAGTGGTATCAAAAAAGCGAAGGGGCAGGATGAAACAGGAGAGAAACAAAAGGCCCTGACAGATCCACGGCTTGGTCCTCCAACCACAAGCTGAGCCACATGAAGGGACGGTAACAGATCGGGGGGATGCAGATGGAAACTTCATAGCACCGAGCTGCCACGGTTTGTTCAGTACTCCAAAGATGCAGAGTGGGATGAGACGCTGAGTAGCATAAGGGAACGCAAATCATGGCAACAGCTCCTGCACTCCAGCCATCGTGCCCACCCACCCCTGGAGTGCCAGATCTTCTCATTCTCCATACCGAACCTTTGACATGCCAATTTCCTCCAGGCAGCTGGAACCTGGCAGAGCGCAGCTTGAGACAATGCAAAGCTTTGTGCTTAGATTCATGGTGTGTAGACTTCAGAGATTCCATTTAAGTGGTCTGGGAGACTACCCCAATACTGGCGCTCCCTTTCAACCAGAGCCATCAGCTCCTAGGCAGAGCACCAAAGAGGGGCTCAGCTCAGTGTTTTGGTTGAGTCTGATCTGCTCTTTTAGATGGCAGCTCTGAGGAAAGCTTTGTGAACTCTGCTTGTCTTGATGAAAGAGAATGGTGGTTAGATGACATATCAATCAGAAACTACTCTGAATGCCAGGCCAGACTAAGATACTAAGGTGCCTAGGTAATAAGACAGGTGTCTTAGCTTAAACTGTCTACAAGCTAGAGCAGGGAAGTGGGAGCTAGGATGCTGGTGTTCTGCTCCCAGCTGACTTGATGCATGGCTTGGGCAAGTCAAAGCCACTCCGTGCCTCTATTTCCCCAGCTGTAAAATGGAAACAAGGCCTATCCTAGCTCACAGGCTTTGAATCTTAATTAATGTTTGTAAAGCGATTAGCACCTTTCATCAGAATATTGCAGGAGAAACACAAAAACTCCTCTCACCCTTTACTAAAACCCAGTGGACTTTTGGGGAATAAGGGGGAACATATAAATAGCCATACTGGGTCAGACCAAGGGCCCATCTAGCTCAGTATCTGGTCACCCACAGTGGCCAATGCTAGATACTTCTAAGGGAATGAACAGAACAGGGCAGTTTCAAGTGCTCCATCTCCTATCATCCAGTCCCAACTTCTGGCTGTGGAAGATTTAGGGACACCTCCGCGGAGCATCCCTGACCATCTCAGCTAATAGCCACAGATGAATCTATCCTCCGTGAACTTACCTAATTCTTTTTTTAAGCCATTTATATTTTTGGCCCTCACACCATTCCATGGCAATGAGTTCCACAGGCTGCATGTGTATTGTGTGAAGTACTTCCCTATGCTTGTTTAAAACCTGTTGCCTATTAATTTAATCAGGTGCCACGTAGTTCTCAGGATACCTGAAGGGGTAACCCCTCCCTAGTCACTTTCTCCACACCATTCTTGATTTTATAGACCTCTATCACATCCGCCCTTAAATGTCTCTTTTCGAAACTGAACAGATTTCCTTTTAATCTCTCCTGCTATGTTCCATCTTTCTAATGATTTTTGTTGCCCTTCTCTGCATCTTTTCCAATGCAAATCTCTCTTTTTGGGGGAATCAGAACAGAACGCAGTATTCAAGGTGTAGGCGTACCATGGATTTATATAGCAACATTAGGATATTTTCTGCTTTATCATCTATTCCTCTCCTAATAGCTACTAACACTGTTAGCTTTTTGAACTGCTGCTGCACATTGAGTGGATGTTTTCAGAGAACTATCCATGACGATGCCACGATCTGTTTCTTGAGCAGTAACAGCTAATTTAGACCCCATCATTTTGTATTTATCGTCGGGATTCTTTTTTCCCCAATGTGCATTACTTTGCCTTTATCCACACAGACTTTCATCTACCATTTTGTTGCCCCATCACCCAGTTTTATGAGATCCCTTTGCCATCAGCTTTGGACTGAACAATTTTGAGTAATTCTATGTTGTTTGCAAATTTTGCCACCTCACTGCTCACCCCCTTTTCCAGCAAAAAGAAAAGGAGTACTTGTGGCACCTTAGAGCCTAAGAAATGTATTTGAGCATAAGCTTTCGTGAGTAGCTCACGAAAGCTTATGCTCAAATACATTTCTTAGGCTCCAAGGTGCCACAAGTACTCCTTTTCTTTTTGCAGATACAGACTAACACGGCTGCTACTCTGAAACCCCTTTTCCAGATAATTTATAAATACATTGAACAACACAGATCCAAGTACCGATGCTTTGGGGACCCCACTATTTAACTCTCTCCATTGTGAAAACTGACCATTTATTCCGACCCTTTGTTTCCTATCTTTTAACCAGTTCCTGATCTATGAAAGGACCTTCCCTCTTATCCGTTGACTGCTTAGTTTGCCTAAGAGCCTTTGGTGAGGGACCTTGTCAAAGGTTTCTGAAAGTCCAAGAACACTGTATGAACTGGATCACCCTGTTTCACATGCTTGTTGATTTCCTCAAAGAATTCTAGTAGATTGGTGAGATGTGATTTCCCTTTACAAAAGCCATGTTGACTTTCCCAACATACTGTGTTCATCTGTGTGTCTGATAATTTTGTTCTTTACTATAGTTTCAACCAATTTGCCTGGTACTGAAGTTTGGCTTATTAGCCTGTAATTGCCAGGATCACCTCTGAAGCCTTGTTTAAAAATAGCCATTACATTAGCTATGCTCTTGTCACCTGGTACAGAGGCTGATTTAAGCAATAGGTTACATACCAGAGTTAGTAGTCCTGCAATTTCATATCTGAGTTCCTTCAGAACTCTCTGGTGAATGCCATGTGGTCCTAGTGACTTATTACTCTTTAATTTCTCAATTTGTTCCAAAATCTCCTCTACTGACACCTCAGTGTCACTGGGACAGTTCCTCAGATGCGTCACCTAAAAAGAATGGTTGGGTGTGGGGATCTCCCTCCCAACCTCTGCAATGAAGACTGATGCAAAGAATTCATTTAGCTTCTCTGCAAAACCCTTGTCTGCCTTGAGTGCTCCTTTTGCAGCTCGATGGCCCAGTGGGCTCACTGACCGTTTGGCAGGCTTCCTGCTTCTGGGGTTCTTAAAAAAAATTGCTGTTAGAATTTGAAAATCAACTACTGAAGGACATGAAAACTTTCTTGGCCTGCCTTATTATACTTTTACACCTGACTTGCCAGAGTTTATGCTCCTTTATATTTTCCTCAATATGCTTTGACTTCCAATTTTAAAAGGATGCCTCTGTCTCTAATCAACGTTTACTCTGCTGTTTAGCCATGGCAGCATTCTTTTGGTCCTTTAGTTTTTATTTGGGGTATACATTTAGTTTGAGCCTCTATGATGGTGTTTTTAAATAGTCTCCATGCAATCTGCAGGCATTTCATCCTTATGACTGGTTCCTTTTAATTTCCATTTAACTAGCTTCCTCATTTTGTGTGTCATTCCCCCTTTTGAAGTTAAATGCTACTGTGATGGTTTTGTGGCATTTTTCCCTCCCC